CTCTCTCTCTCTCTCTCTCTCCCCCCGAGGTGTCAAGATCTCAGGACTTTAACCCCCCCTCCACCCCGACCTTCCTCTAATCCTCCCCTCTCTCTCTCTCACACACACACACACGGACGCACAATACCAAAACACGATAAGGAAACGATTAAGCAGCCACGCGATCTCGAGCGTTCGCCTTCCCCCCCACTTTCCTCCTAACCCTCTCGCTCTCCCCCTCCCAGCCCCCCTCTCTCTCGCACACAAAAAAAGAAAAACAAAAAAAAGAATGAAAAGACAATCAACCCACACACACCAAAAGAAAAATGAAAAAAAAGAAAACCATCACCCTTTTGCCTCCTCCTCACCCTCTCGCTTTCCCCCTCGCACACACAAAAAAGAAAAGAAAAGAAAAAATGAAAAAGACGATCGAGCCACACACGAACAAAAGAAAAACGAAAAAAAAAGAAAACTCATCTTCATTTTCCCTCCTAACCCTCTCGCCTTCCCCCTCCCAGTCTCTATGTCTCACACAAAATAAGAAAAACAAAAAAGACGATCGAGCCAAAAAAACAAAAAAAAGACAACGAAAAAAACGATTGAGCCACGTGGCTAACCCTCGCCCTTACCTCTTTGCCCACTCCCTTCCCTCAAATGTGGCACCCATCCTCCTTTCACCCGATCCTCTCTCCCCGCAACAGCTGCACTTGTCCTGTGTCGCCCCGATCTTAAATCCCCAGTGACTGCCACACACACCTTTTCCCTCGTCCTTACTCCCCCRCCTCCTCCTCTCCCTCCCATTGCATTTGGATCCCGAGACCTTTTCCACCCTGGTCATCAAGAACCCAACCCCATCATCATGTCCCGTTGGGGGACAGGTGACTAAACAACAACTTGCAACGTTAAAGCCTATAGGTGATACCGGCGAGATCCAACTGGTTTGTTTGATGTACCTATTGGAAGTCAGAGGACCGATAGTACCTGCCTAACCCGAAAGGGACCTAGTAATAGGAAAGCACTGACAATCTCATCAGTAATCGGGAAGGGGTCTATGCATCATCATGTCCCGCCTTCATGGCCGCTTATTTCCCTCTCCACTCCTTCTCGATGTTGCCCTGCCTCTACTCATTTTCCCGATCAGGAGAGAAAAACGAAATCACTATCCACTGCTTCTCCCATTTACCCCTTCCCTT